TGCCCATTCTCAAAGATCTTGTGGCTTCTGGGAAATAAAAAGCAGCTCTTCTAAAATGTGGCTGACTTTTTTTTTTTTTTTTTTTTTTTGTCTCTTTTTGGAGTCATAATGAACCTTAAGGGCACATTTTCAAAAACCAGTCAAGTAGCAGGCAAGACACTGGGGTAAAAAAGACAAAAACAAACCTCCCAAAACCTCAGTGATAATTAGAAATGCTGCCTTAGAGTTGCAAATTTTCTAAAACTAAAAATATTCCTCCAAAGCATCCCATTTTCCCTGCCTTCCCCCCCTCCCCCCACAAGCACCACCCTAGGAAGTCTGGCTGACTCATCAGCTCATTTCAGAGCAGTTTTCACTGGTGGTGCCAGGGTTGTGCTCACCATCTGAGTACAGTAGGAAGCACAATGGCTGCATTTCATTAATTGAAACGTCTATTGTGTGTCTCTGTTCCCCTTTCCCTGGGTGATCTCCAGAAAGTGTGCACGCTGGAATGTGCAGAGGGTAGGCAACAGCATGAAGCTGATTTTGCTTTTTGTTTTCAACACAATCACGCAAAATAAGAAAGGGCTTGCTCTGCAGAAGAATCGGCTTTTGTCTCTGTCTTGAGGGCTTTGTCAAGGCTCATCTTTGCTACCTTCCAACCTGGCACCGGTCCCCTGGAGCCGCCTGAGAGAGTGACAGGCTCTGTGCAGGCGGCACCTTTAAAACCTCACTGACATTTAGAAACGTGCCTCACCACGCGGCCCACGCTGGACATTCTTAGGTTGTTATGTGGCCTTGGCACCCAGAAGTTGTGCTAGCTGACAGATTTGTTTAATTAAAGAGGGTTGGGAGTGGCCGAAGGGCAGCATGACGGTTTGCTCATCTCTCTCTGCAGACCACTTTTTTTTTTCTTTTAAAGATTTTATTTATTTATTTGACAGAATGACACAGCAAGAGAGGGAACACAAGCAGGGGGAGTGGCAGGCAGAGGGAGAAGCAGGCTTCCCGCTGAGCAAGGAACCCGATGTGGGGCTCGATCCCAGGACCCTGGGATCATGACCTGAGCTGAAGGCAGATGCCTAATGACTGAGCCCCCCAGGCACCCCTCTCTGCAGGCCTCTTAAACAGCTTCATCACCAAAGCTGAGGCCAGAACCATTCCTTGAAAGACTGATCTCTTGAGTGGTGAACGTATTCTTTTTTCTTTTTGTTTTCTGCTAGAAATCTGGATAGAATTCTGACTTGAAACAAAATTGTTTTTGTCACACTGAAAGAAGATTTCAGGTGCTGTTTGGATTTTTTTTTTTCCTGGTGAGACCTTCTCTGTTGCCTCAAATCGCACGTACTGTCCGCCTCGTTAATGATGTGGCGACGGTGAAGGTTGGTGAATTTTATTTAAAAAAGAAGTGACTGCCTGCAGAGTTCACGTTCTAGATGGCTGACTTTACAAACTTTGGCTAATTACATCTTCTGTAAATGTTCCCTATTTATGAGGTTTGCTCCCAGACTGGGATTTTAGATAACCAATCTATACAAGACAAGCGTGACCATCGTGACCATCGGCTTTGACCTGGGTGTGATTAGTCACATCTCAAACACAAAGGAGTGGGTGTGAATTACAGCCACAGAAGGGTCCTTGTTAAGCCCAGGCTGCTGCAGTCCACAACAGAGATGCCCTAAGGGGTGTGCGTTATGCTCACTGAGGCTTTGGTGCATCTCCCATCTCCCCATCTCCCTGCCCCCCTGTTCTGTAGCATATGAGGGGGATCTGGTGCCTTGGCTTTCAGCCCAGTGTTTTGGAGGGGCTGATTTGGCCCATCTGGCTCCTTGGGCATCTCCTTTCTTCCTCCTCATTCTGGGTTTGGCCAAAAAGTGTCAAGTTGGCTGCAAATATTTTGAACTCCTACAAAGACCATATGGTCTTTTGGATTCGATTTTCAACATTTTTATCAGTCAATACTTACTGAGCTCTTGCAGTCCTGTTACCCAATGCTGTTGCAGTAGCTTCCCTGAGCGTCACAGAGGAGGGTGCCCCTGGACCATGAACACACCTTTGACATCCCCATCTCTCTCGCTCTCCTCTCTGGCTCTTACCTCTTTCTGGAATACCTTGATGTCTAGCCCATTTTTCAAGATCAACTCAGATGTCACCCACTTGATAAAGCCTCCACCCACTTGGGGTAATTTTCCCTCTTTCTTTTGAACCTGTACTGTGTCCCTCTGATCTTTGTTACCTATTCCTTCATTCACCCCTTCATTCATTCTTTCAAAAAAATATCTACTGATGCCTCGCATGTACCAGATTTCGGATATATCAGTGAACTAAACCACAGAGCTATCTTCCTGCCCTTATGGAGCTTACCTTGTAGTTGGGGGAGATAACATAATACACAATATATGCAGTACACAAGTCAGTTACACAGTATTTTGGAAAGGGGAAAGTGGAATGGAATGTGAAAAAGGAAAAGCAGGATCAGGTTGATCAGATGTCCAAGGTGGAAGGAGGGGGAAGATGCAGTGTATGTTAGGTAGACAGGCCTTGGTGACAGCTACTGAGGTTGGCCTGGTGGCCATGGTAATTTGCATGTGTACCTTCTCCTTTCCCAACTGAAAGGACGGGAATTGGGCATCCTCACTGCCTTATCTGCCAGCAGCACTTAGCACATAGTGCCGTGTGTGTGTGTGTGTGTGGTTGGTGCTCTGTAAATGGTAAAATGGAAATGAACATGTAAAAACGAATTTGAAGACAAATAAGGAAACCCAGTCTATTTTTTTTTAAAGATTTTATTTATTTGTTTATTTGAAAAAGTGAGACAGAGACAGAGAGAGAGTGAGGGGTGGGGGAAGGACCAGAAGGGAAGAAGGTGGAAGGAGGAAACAACCTTAAGCAGATTTCCTGCTGAGCCTGGAGCGCAATGTGGGGCTCAGTCTTAGGACCCTGAGATCACAACCTACACCGAAACTGAGTCAGGTGCTTAACCAGCAGAGCCCCTCAGGTGCCCCAAATAAACCCATTCTTATTTTCACTTTCTTCCTGCCCTTAAAAAAAACGTTATGATAAATCTATACTTAAGAATCTTAAGGGGCGCCTGGGTGGCTCAGTCGGTTAAGCCTCCGCCTTTGGCTCAGGCATGATCTCAGGGTCCTGGGATGGAGTCCCATGTCAGGCTCCCTGCTCAGTGGGGAGCCTGCTTCTTCCTCTCCCTTTGCCCCTCCCCCTATGTGTGCATGTGCGCTCTCTCAAATACATAAATAAAATCTTTAAAAAAAAATCTTAAATTCCTTCCATATTTATTCATTCTTTTCAAGACAGAATTTGTCACTGGAGCTCAGTGAGCACAGGGCTTTTGGAAAACATTGGTCAAATGCCTGAACTGCTTTTTACATGAAAAAACACAATTATAAGATATAAATTTCAATTGCAAATTAGAAGAGCACAGAGGACCATAGTTTTTTTCCTGCTTTGGCTAGGTTTTTGCTCTAACAGAATTGTTTTTCAAAGTAAACAACTTTTGGGAACTGAATAGGGGAAAACATTTCAAGAGTGTATTTTATTATCAATTTGCCATGAAAAACTCAAGCGTCTCTTGACAGCCTCTGGATTTAATTAGCTGTAAGTTTACCAATATTTATCAAGTGAATGAATATTATCCCAGTGCAGAGCAACACCTCACGTGAATTATGAGGACATGTGTGTCGCCTGATCAATGAGTGTGCATGCCACACGCGTTTCAGGTCTTACCTGAGGTTTAGAGATTATGGAAAATCAACGCAGAATCACTTTCCAGGCTGCACTCAGTCAGTGTAACTGGGTCTCGAATCAGAAAAAGATCCAGGGCCATGTTGAACCGAGGCTTTCCCTCATTCCCAATTTAAAATGTAAGTGCTTGCTGCCGCTGATAAAAGTCTCCCGAGAGCCAAAGAGCGCCGTGTAATTTAGAGCCCCGAATTCCGTGCTGCGTCCACCTAGAGTTGACCTAGACTGATAGAATGCCAGAGTCAGGAGGCCCCTTGGGGTAACCTAGCTTAGTGGCTTTCCAATTTCCCCAAAGGAGCTCTCCCATGGGCCCAGTGTGCAGAGGCAGGGGAAGAACCAGCAGGCTAGGCTCTGAGTGAGCTGGTCTCATGCCCCATCTTCCATTTGCCTCAACACACTTAGACTACTTTTATTGTTTTCATGCTTCAATGTAAGAATTTGTGTGAAAGCAGGCTTCTGAGGCTAAAGATTGTTTGATCTAGAGTAGCCCACTCGTTTTCCAGGTAGAGACATGGCAGCCTGGAGAAGGTAAGATAGACCACACCAAGGGGTGTGTCTTGCAGTCCTGACAACAGTAGAAACATGCCTTTCTGTGAATCAGATGAGACAGACAGGGAAGCATAGCGTATAAAAGAACATTTAATGCATTAGTTAAATGTAAAATACTATCATCATGTTCCCTTTTCTACCCCTAGAGCAGCTGTGGAGGTTGTCAAACTGGGTTCCAGGGAGCCCTTGGTATCATTGCTGGGGGCATAAGAACCCCTGTTCTTCAGGCAACACATTTTCCCTTTAATCCACTTTCTATGTCAGCCCTCCAGGTCAAGTGTCTCCTATAGGAGGGCGCTATAACTTTAAAGAAGTTTGAAAACCGCTGATCCAGAAGGATTTTTGCCTCTGAGAATAAATAGTTATATGTGTTTCAAACGCTGGTGCCCTCTGTGCCTGAAATGACCTGGCAGAATATTTGGGGCGGAGGTTGGCTGAATGCCAGGTTCAAGAAGAGGAGAGCCCTGTGGATCAGCTGGGCTTGAAACAGAGACGGACATCTGATCAGTGAAACTGCAGCTCGCTAGAGACACCTCTGAGCTACATTGAGACTTGGGGTGTTTTGAAGTCTGGTGTTCCTGAGGCCTTTCATTTTTTTTGGGGGGGGGGGTGTCTGTTTGTAACTCATGTGGTGGTTCAGTGTAAGTTCCAGGGTGGAAACTAAGCGGATCCTGGCAGGTGATGGTCCTTTCTTTCCTGTCTTCATTTTTCAGTGCACTTACATTTCAATCGACCAAGTCTCCAGGACCCATGCCATCGTGATAAGCAGACCTGCTTGGCTTTGGGGGGCAGAAATGGGAGCCAACGAGCATGGTGTGTGCATAGCCAATGAAGCCATCAATGCCAGAGAACCAGCCGCTGAGACGGAAGCCTTATTGGGGATGGATCTGGTCAGGTACTACAAGATGATTCTTTGAAACACCTGCTCGAACAGGCAGGGAAGGGGGATAGGGTTTCTTTCCTCTAAACCTCATATTTTGTAACACAAGGCCCCCAAAGAAGACATGTGCCTTTTTTTGTTTGTTTGTTTAAAGATTTTATTTATTTATTTGACAGAGAGAGAGAGCACACACAAGTAGGCAGAGAGGCAGGCGGGGGGCTGGTGGGGAAGCAGGCTCCCTGCTAAGCAGGAAGCCCGACACAGGGCTCGATCTCAAGACCCTGGGATCATGAACTGACCCGAAGGCAGATGCTTGACTGACTGAGCCATCCAGGCGCCCCGACGTGTGCCTTTTGATATGAAGTTCAAGGTATTAGAGAAAAAGAGTAGATTACAATGGAATATTAGTAAGTAATAAAAACCAACCATGTGCTACATGCTTGAATTTTGAAAACATTATACTAAGTGAAAGAAGCCAGACAGAAAAGTTTGCATATGGTACGATTGCATTTACATGAGATGTCCAGAATAGGCAAATTCATAGTAGTAGAAGGTAGATGAGTGGTTGCCTGGGGTTGGGATGGGAAAATGGGGAGTGATTCCTAACGGGTATGAGGCTTCTTTGTGGGCTGTTGAAAATGTCCTGAATTTAGATTGCGGTGATAATTGCACAACTTTGCGAATACCCTAAAAATCACTGAACTGATTTTTTTTAAGTGGGTGAAGTTTATGGTTAATGGTTTGAAATACATCTAAAATACAGGAAAGAAGGAAGGAATCATATAAAATACCTAAGATATAAAGGAAAAAAGGAGAGAGCCATGGCCCTCCCGGCCCTCTTCATCTCCATCATCTGTTTTCCTTTTGCTGCTCTGCCAGCTGCTGTGTAACAGGGGGAAGCAGACACGTGGGTTCTGTGGGATGGGGACCTTTGCTCGCTTCCCATTGTGTCACGAGCACCCAGAGTTGTGGGCCTGTCCTGCAGTGGCTGATCAATGACTGAATGACCAAAGGCGAGAGACAGAGGAATGACATTCTGAAATGACTTTTTTTCTGAGACAGTGAAATGCAATAGAATCATGACTGAGTTGAAAGAATATTGGGCTGGGAGCCAGGGGCCTTGATTTTCAGTGTGAATGTACCAAGTGATAACACGTCTCTGGGCCACATTTGTTTGAGGGAGGCCTTCGATGGGTTGACCTCTCAAGAACCTTCCCAAACCAACATTCTGTATAAAGGACTAGAGGTTTTGACCCTTAGTAGGTTGTGTAGGGAGAACGTGCACATTTACGCCGGGACCTCTGTGGTCTGTAGCTCCCACCAACCGATGGCCAGGTCTGTTAACCTTCCAGGGAAGGGCCCAGGAGGCTTGACACACCTGTGTGAGTCATGGGCCTCAAGTAGGGATTCTTCCAAGGACTTGCCATAAAACAAGAATTTGAATTTGGGAGGAGCTAACTCCAAGACCCAGAAAAAACCTGGACCAAGCACGTGCTTTTGGAGGATCTGGATTGTACCGAAGGTAGATGTCGGAGTGAGACTTGAGCCTTGGCCCGGTAAATTGCATCCCTTTGCCTGCCCTGGTCATGCCCCTAAGGAGGTGGAGCAGCCAGTGTGGAAGTAGGCATGGGGGCCAGAGAGATGCTGTTCTCGTTCTGAATCACACAAACCTGCCCCATCTATGAGGCCAGACCACGTGAAAGGCTTAGGAACAGGCGTCTTGACATCGAGTGACTTGGGGCTCTAGACCTCTGTAGCCCTAGTGTGTCCACCTGTCATTGGAGCCGGATGGTGTGTAACCCTGCGGCCATTGGCAGTCCGTGGGGCAGGCTGTCCTGTCCTTGCCCCGTGGCACCGAGGCAAGGTGGGAATGGCCAGGTGGACAAAGGAGTATCGCTTCCCGTGGTCCCGGCACAGGGAGAGGAGAGTGAGAGCAGAGTCGTGTCTGTGGATGGGTGTCGAGGTCCTGCTGCAGACGCTGGGCACAGAGGGCATGGAAGTCAGCGTGGGAGGGCAAGCGCTGTACTGGGAGTCTCAGCGTGGAACACAGCGGGCAGCACAGCGGGAGAGTGAGCTAGACCTGCACAAGAGAAATCACAGGTTCTGGAGGCGGGGTGCCCCTGGCGAGGTGTCACATGGTGCTCGCACATGATTGTCTGGGCAAATCAGACCCCCATACAAGCCCTGGGGACAGGCTTCTGCTTGGAATGTATGCATGGGGCAGTGTGACCAGAGGCTCCAAGGACCTGTGGAGGGAGGAGGGGGACCCTCCTGGGGAAACAGCTTGGACAGACCTATAGAGGTGCTCATAACACACTTACTTGCTCTGGATCCCCAAAAGCAGGTGACTGCTTGCTTGCTTCCGCCTTTACTTTTCAGAGAAGGTGACTGACCAACAGAAAAGTCTACTTAATTCCATCTTCTGGTGAGGTTATTTTTGGTCACTCTCCCAAGGTGTTAGGGATCGGCTTTGCAAATCAGTGGCTTGTCACCAAGTCTTCCTACATACACTAAAATTGAGAAATGCCCAATGAATTGATCACAACGATCTGATGGTGAAAATAAGCCTGTTAGAAGAATGCGTCCATAGCATCATCTGTTCCTCTCCCTGGCAGCCCAGGGAACGTCCCTTCAGAAAGAATCAAGCCGGGTGAATTTCAATAACGTCTGGTCTGTTGGCGGTTCACCGAGAGCTGGCTGTCGCTGCCGTCCTAGCATGTGCTTCAGCCTCTGCCCCGAGGTTCTTGCACTTGCACCCCCAGAATGACAACGTGGAGGAAAAGATGGACAAAAAGACATGTACTGAGCGTGTATCGTGTGCCATCCTCTTTCCAATCAGCCTGAGAGGGATGTACTGCCCTTTTGACTTGGCAAAGGAAAAAACCAGGTTTCAGAAAGGTTAGGTTACCGAAGGTCGTGCTGCCAGTGGGTGGCCGAACCGGACCTGGAAGACATGCTCTCTCTCTGAGTCACTGCTTTTCTGCCAGAGGGGGCTGCCTCTCCAACGGACCCCCCAGCTCCTTGGTTGTGCTTGTATTTTCACATTCATTATCTCATAAACCTGTCCCACGGGCAACCCGAGGATGTAGGTACTTACTTCATAGGGGACATAAATTTGAGCTCGATACAGTATGCAGCTGGCCCAGGTTGCGCAGAAGACAATATCCGTGCCCTCTTTAGGGGGCCAATTAATTGGAAGGGCTGGGAGGAGACTACTGTCTGACTTCAGAAGAAGGATGTACTTTTTGATAAGTGAAGCCCTAAGCCAATAGGGTGGAGGCCGATAGGGTGGAGGAGAGATATGTTGAAAAGCATTGATGTCCTAACCAGGCACCATACCTAGTGAGATCTCTCAGGAAATTACAGGCACCGAGGACAGTGGCTGGTCACGGAACACTTTTGTTATTAAGCCACATACCTGGTGTAGAATAGCACAGATCAGGGCTGCCCTGGGCAGAGCTATCCTCCCCCCCCTTTTTTTTTTAAGATTTTATTTATTTATTTGACAGAGATCACAAGCAGGCAGAGAGGCAGGCGGGTGGGGGGGGGAAGCAGGCTCCCTGCTGAGCAGAGAGCCCGATGCGGGGCTTGATCCCAGGACCCCGAGACCATGACCCCAGCTGAAGGCAGAGGCTTTAACCCACTGAGCCACCCAGGCGCCCCCAGAGCTATCCTTTTGCTCAAAGGCAGGAGGGAGGATAAGCCACAGAAAGGGGGTCTTGATAAGGCTGGAGCTGAGCTCCCTAGCTCCAGGGGAGCCAGAGTTAGAAAGGAAACAGAGAGGAGGCTGAGCTGCCCTTCACAAGGGAGAAGCTGCTGGGTTCCTGACTCTTCTGTCTGTGTGGGAGGGTGGTGCCCAAAGACAGAAAACACCCCCATGATTTGAAACCAAACGTGGGAGAGATGTATTCTGAGTTCAAGTGCCGTGCATCTACGTCTCAGCCCGCGGATGGAACGTGTTTACGCACGTTGGCCGGCTTCCTCGCTCAGCTTCGGCCCGGTCTTTGGTTGCCATGGTAACAACCACATGCTAGGAAAGGACTGAGGTACACTTCTGGTTTTCTTCCTCCAGGCTTGGTTTAGAAAGAGGGACGACAGCTAAAGAAGCCTTAGATGTCATCGTCGCCTTGTTGGAAGAACACGGACAAGGTGGGAATTATTATGAAGACGCAGACTCCTGCCACAGCTTCCAAAGCGCATATCTGATCGTGGATCGCGAGGAGGCCTGGGTGCTGGAGACCGTGGGGAAGTACTGGGCTGCCGAGCGGATCGCAGGTGAGCCCGTGTGGATGGGGCGGCCGAGGCGGGTGCTGCCGGATGTGCAGGAATCCTGCTGCTGGTGCCCACCCTCTCTGTGCTGGACCTTTTCTCTGGGCTCTGTTTCTAGAGACGAGCCTGGGGTGTGGGGACGTCAGCACTTGGGAAACACATCCTTGACATTTCTTATTTTCTATTTGCTTTCTGGGCAGGACCCAATTTTGACTATCAGCAGTTCCGTGACCCAAATGGTTACTCTGACTTGGTCAAAGGAATGGTGATTTTCCCAGTCCGTTCAGTCAGCGAACCACTATGACAGGGAGCTGCCCCTCGTCACCCACAGTCCCGTAGCTCCTTGCGCTTGGAATGTTCCTCTGAAAGAGGAATTTGGATCTGTGTGGGGACTGTGACTGCCTCTGGGCCAACAAGCTCATTTCTCTGTGAGACAGTGTTTCTAGAAGAGCAGAGGACTAGGGATGCACCCGGAAGGATGCATTCAGTTGTTGCTCCATGCTCCCTGTAGCATTTGTCTTGAGATGGTTCTGAGGGAGGAGATGTTAGAGGGGGTGTGGTTGTCCTGTCTCATCACTTAGCAGCCTCACACTGGGGACCGGATGGGGTCCCAGAAAGGGCTAAAGGGTTTCCAAGAGGACTAAGGAGTTCTAGGAGAAAATTGGCCAGTGAAGCCCCACTGACATTCCTTAGGACTGAATGACAAGTACATGGACTGTGAGCTGCCATTCCCTGACACAGCTGGTAGGTCGTAACACTCTCTCATATTGGACCTAGATTTGGTCTATGTATTTTTCTCAACTGAATTTGTAGGGAAGTCTCTTCAGGTGTCTCAGAATCGATGATGGGGATGATGGGGATGAAACCAGTTTTCCATCTCTGCCTTAAGAGGGATTAGAGCCAAATCTGACCTGAGTTAGAAGCAGAAGCTCTACTGTAATAGTTGGGAATCAAGCCCATTGTTTTCCATGGCTGCCGTCAGTGTGGGGATCAGGGTTGCCATGGGCGACAGGTATGTTGTGTCCCGTGAGAGGCTGGCTTGTGGTGCTTGCCTGGACGAGGAAGGCTTCTTATACTCACAAGGGTGTCGAATGGGCTGACAGCACCCTTGCAACAATGTCAGGGAGTTCCCCCACCCCCACGTGCCCAGCACACACCCACGTGTGCCTGCTACCCTACTCCTTCGGTCCTCACAGGACTGATGCAGCCCGTGTGGGCCACTGTATCACCAAGCCTCCCGCTGGGCAAGAGCTTAACACTCCTTTACCAAAAATTTCTCCTAGGATGAAGCCTTACTATCAAATGGTTCCATTCAGAGGGCTAGTGGTCCATGCTGATGAAGCAGTCCTAGATTGCTTTTCAGTAGAACTTAAAACTTTTTGATCTATACCTGCCTTTCAAAAGCTTCATTGCCCTTCAAGATACACCTTAAAAATATCCATCTCCTCAAAATGAGTGATGTCTTTCCCCAACTATTGAAATAAAGCCCCAGCCATTCCTTGCACTCCTTCCTTGGACATGATTTCATGTCCTCTCTCCCTGCAGCAGGGGTGCCAACAGTAGGATCTCCTCAGTCTGGTCCCTGAACACTCCCATTCCCGAAAGCAAACATCTATTATAAATCAGCCCTTGAGGGACATACTGTCTGTGGAGAGTTGTGCACAAGATTTTTTTGATAGCTTAGTGTGAAGAATGCCAAAATCACTTATTTAGGCCAGAGCTACTTTTTATTTTTAATTTTTTAAAGTGGTTTTATTCTTGTGTTGTCCTCTGGAAAGATGAACGGCAAAAGGCCAATGCCCGTCAGCTGGGAATACTTGTTCTGGAAGATAAGTCAGTGAAGCAGAACATGCTGGAGAACTGAGTCCAGTACTGACCTTGTCTCTCGGATCTGGTTCTCAGGCAGTCATGGCTTTATTGCAGCCCATGGCTTGAGCTCTCTCCCTCTACTTCATTGTCCAAAAATGTAGAAGATCAGCATGCTCCCTGGAAGTAGCAAATATGGAGGGCCTTTCTGCACTACAGCTCATAACTTCTTAGAGTTCTGGAGAGCATTTTGAAGCTTGAAGGCCAAGTCACCCTCAGGGTATTTGAGGCTGAGGCTTTGGAGGAGCCAGAGTGAGCCTGCCAGCAGCCGGGAGGATTTCTGGCCTCGCCCTCCTCCATCAAGCCAAGTGTACTCAGAGTGCAGGTCTTTCTGATTCTAGACTTCTTTAGTCACACTTATATTCTTATGAGAAAAAATTCCCGTAGATCTCCCACACCCATATACACGGACACATCTGTACACACACACACACACACACACACACACACGCATGCACGCACCCCTACTGATAGACTCTGAGACACATGTTGACAGGTGCATTCCAGTATTTTAGAATAATTCATTATCAGTGCCACTGTGGTTTTCTAAATGTTGGCACCTGAAAGAAAAAAATAGCTGAATGAAGAAGTATCATATTTGTATTTTCCAAAAATGATGTATTTGGGCAGAGGATGGAGGTGTAGAGGGTTCCTTCAAGTAGAAGAAGGTTAAATTGGGGAGGGAAATCTCTATAGTTGCGACATTCATAAGTCTTGTTAGTAGTGCCGTGTCTCTTTAAGAAACCTTAGTAATAAATGCTCGGGGCTCATTTAGCCATAATGAGGGCTTCACCTGTTTCCTTTTGAATGTGAATTGTAGATCAAGTGACTGTTGCTCATTTAAAATGTGGTAATGCCCGGTCTCTGGTCAAACCTTCTGGGAAGTCTCCTTAAAAGAGGACAAAGGTTTGTGTGTTTCTCTCTCAAAAATAGAGTCTCTTCCTCTCTGGAGTTAAAGTTGAGTTGCAGAGAAGGGATTCCCTGTAAATTTCCATTTCTTGATTAAGTCTTTGCAAGCCTATTTCCAGCTAATGGGGCTTTGTACTCTCTACAGAGGGAGTGAAGTGCATTTGCAATCAGCTTTCACTCACCACTAAGATCGATGCGGAGCACCCTGAACTCCGGAGTTATGCTCAGAGTCAAGGCTGGTGGACGGGAGAGGACGAGTTCAATTTTTCCAAAGTTTTTTCTTCAGCTGAAGACCATCTAGACTGCTGTGCAGGCAAAGACAGCATAGAAAAGAAAGAAGGTGAGTTAGCGTATCCCGTATGATTCTCCCTCTCATACCTGTTGTCTTGTAGCTATTGTGGAGAACGTGTCTGATTTTAAGAGAGTGAGCAAAGAGGAGGAGAGGAGAATAGAACCTGTCCATAGAGACCGACCTGTGCTGACGGCCCTGAGGAGCCGGCAGGATGACGACGTGTATCTCTTGTTGTAGGATGCTTCCTCAGCCATGCTAAGTGCTTCTCCTTCTGACGTTCTTTCTCCATCTCCACTGGTGTCTTTGTACTTGTCTTTATGACACTTAGTATAGCCTTCCTTCTACCTAGCCTTTGTGTATTTGCCTTATTGTCTTCTGTGTTTTCTGCTCTCATTAGCCTGCTGGGCCTTGAGGGCAGGGCACTGTCCTTAACTCATCATGGGATCCCCTTGTGGTGCCCATTACGGTCTTTTGCTCCATGAACATTTATTGATTTGAACTGTTGACCTGAATTCTCTTCCTGAACCCTCTGTCTTCCCTCCCGTTACTGACTCCGGCAGAATCCCAAATTAGGTAAATGTAGTGACTGGGTAACTTGCTACTTTGGTGCCTTCTAAAGAAACCACCGTGGCCACATTTTGCATTTGCCAGTGATACATGTGTTTTGTAAGGTAAACCTGTGATCATTTAGAACAGGGGTTGGCAGATTATGATATGTTGGTGGCCAGAATTTTGTAAATAAAGTGTTATTGGAACACAGCCATGCACACTTACTTAGAGATTGTCAAGGGCTGTTTCCATGCTGTAGTGGCACAGTTGAACACTAACCACAGGGATGCTGTGACCCATAAGTCTGAAATATTTACCATCTGGCTCTTTAAGAAAAAGTTTGCTGATCCTTAGTATAGAAGAACACTTCAAGGACTTTTGCTGTGGAGCTTAATTAATGGATTTAGCGTAGGAAAGTAAGAAAGTACCCATTTAAAAATGGGAACTTAAAAAAAAAAAAAAACCTCTAAGAGTTAAAAAGAAAACAAGTTTGATAAAAGTATATAATGCCGCATGTGACGTAGTCTCACCAAAACATCACACCTAAGTCTGATGAAGCCTCTGGATCTAAGTACAGAGGATGGGGAAGCATTAAATAACACCAGGGGATGCCATCTGCAAAGTTCAGACTGTGGGAAATTCTACAGAAGAAATGGCCCAACAAATACAATGTAAGGGAGTAAAATGAGAGGCAGAGATTGAAAGAGATTTGAGACATTACCGACCAATTGGATTCTGATTTAAATCAAGAAACTCATTTATGAGGCGATGAGAACATTTGAATACTGGGTAGTTGAAGAAATCAAGGCTTTTACTGTTAATATTTTTAGGTATGACATATTACAAATAGAAACTTACAGACTTCTACTTACAAAGGTAGAAGGAAGGCTATACTAAGTATCATAAAAACAAGTACAAAGACACCAATGTCTGAAGGAGAAAGAACGTCAGAAGGAGAAGCACTTCCCACGGCTGAGGAAGCATCCTAACTTACAAAGACAGAGTTTTGTTAGGGAAGTTTAAGACCTTTTCCCTTTGTGATGCTTTGAATCCATCCTTGTGAACACAGACTGTAAGAATAGTGTTTTAATGAGTTGTAATCTGAGAGAGAAAATGTAAAGCTGGGGTCCTGTGGAGTCAAGGAATTGTTGACACATTAAATTGAAGTCAGAGCCGATAGTCAAAATGGTTCTGAATATTGTGGATACTTCTGTATGTGACTCTCTCCCATTTCAGAGAGGACGTTCTCCAAATACCGTATTGACTCTAACCAGCAAGAGTGTACCAGAGAGCTTGCTTAGTGGAGTGTGTGTAGACTGCATGTACCTTCCTATAGATAATCGTTCTATTGTGTACTGCACTTGTTGAGGAATTGCTAAGTGCTCTAACAAAGAGACTTCAAAATAATATGGCTTAAAGAAAATGGAAGCTTATTTTTCTCTCATGGTCTAGATGTATATGGACAGTCCAGGGCTGGTGGGTTGTTCTGCCTGAACACAGGACTTCCATCTGTGGTCCACTTGCAGGCGTGTCCTAGGCAGCAACAAGAGGTGGGAAAAAAAAGAACAAGCCGTCCTTTTTTTTTTTTTTTTTTTTTTTTTTTTTAATTTAATTTTATTTTTTTTTAAGTTTTATTTTTTTAAAACATATAATATCTTTTTATCCCCAGGGGTACAGGTCTGTGAATCGCCAGGTACAAGCCGTCCTTTTTATGGGTGTGACGGGGAAGTTGTCCATGTCATTTCATCTCCCATTGGTCAGATTGGTCTTGTGGCCACACGTAGCTGCAAGGGAAGTTGGGAAATGTAGTTTGTAGCTGGGCAGTTGTGTTCCCAGCTATCCATCCAAGGGTTCTGTTACTAAAGCAGAAAAGGAATGAATGGAATTTGGTTAACAATCTGCCACTGTTACAGTTTCTCTCTTTCTGTGTCTCTTTCTTTTTTTTCTTTACAGAAAGTATCACTGTGCAGACTATGATTGACATCTTACGGGACAAAGCCAGTGGCGTCTGTATAGACTCCGAGACTTTCCTTACCACAGCCAGCGTAGTGTCCGTTCTGCCTCAGAACAGAAGCTTGCCATGCATTCACTACTTCACTGGGACCCCAGATCCTTCCAGGTTTGTCTGAGACACAGTCGTGCTGGCAGAAAGTGTGCTTTTCCCTTGAAAGCTCATCCAATAAGTGTACACTGCGTTCCTGTACCTCCCCTTCTGTAGCTGAGTCACATTTTTCCATCGTGGTCCAATGTGGCCGATGCAGCACAAAGAACTTTGACTAAAGGAAGCTCTCAGCTTTAGTCACCTCATTTTTTTTTTTTTTTAAGTATGCTCTGTGCCCAGCATGGAGCCCAAACTCAGAGCTCAAACTCATGACCCTGAGATCAAGACCCATGCTGACATCAAGAGTCAGATGCTTAACTGACTGAGCCACCCACCCAAGTGCTTGCTCTTAGTCACATCATTTTTATGACATTCCTGGAATCAAATTGTTTTAAATTCAACGAGTATGTATTGAGTTAATACCATGGGCCAAGTGTTGTGCTATATCTGAGGGATGCAAACATAAATAACCACACAGTGAGACAGATGCAGAAATGCCCAAGATTCAGCAAAGCAATCAGTTCCTATAAGTTAGAGGACAAAATGGTCCAGAGGCCATGCAGATGGAAGCAATGTCAAGTGTACCAGCTACTTCCTTAAGACATGATGTTTCAGGGAGATGCTTTCTGCCCATATACTTAGCAAAGGGGTTGTACTGCTCAGTGTTTAAGAATACAATGTCTGAGTAGATTGCCAGGATTTTGATTTCCATGTGTCTCACTTAGTAGCTGGTAAATTACTTAACCTCTGTAAGCTTTAGTGTCTGTACTGTGTAATGAGGATAATACTGGCTCCTACTTTGTATGCTTCTTGGGAGGATTAAATGAGATAATCCAAGTAAATACACAGTAGGTTTAACTTCTCTTTATTAAAACGATTTCTGATTTGCCAGGCACACAGCAGCCCTGTTCCCTGGTCATGTTCAGTCACATATACCACAAGTCATATCATCAGTGGCTTAGTTAGACACAACCATCTAATGGTCTCTAATTCTGTTCATTATCAGCATTTTTTTGAAATTCTGTTTTTGAAAGTTTTTGAAAAATACAGGTGCCTAGACCCAAACCTATTGTATCAGAATCTTTAAGGTGGGCTTAGGAATCTGTCAACTAAGACTGATCCTCAGCCTGGAAAACTCTAGAAGACTTTCTGTTCCAGTAGTTTCACTGGTAATGTTTAGGGGGTTCCATTGGCTGAAAACCATCATTACTATTTGAATATTGGGTGTCAGATCTTTGACTGCTACCAGAAGGTCTGTAGCTGTTCAGTTTCATTCCTTCCAGCTGAACATATTTATTCTTCTCCTGTTGTTTCAGGAATATAAGACAGTGATGGTGTCTATCTAGGGACTTTTTCTTAAATGACTCAGGGGAAAAGCCCAGTACCTCTCTTGACCCTTTGGCCTTACTTCTTTACTTTTTTGTGTTTAGAGAAAGAGATAGAAAGCATGTGCACAAGTAGGGTGGGGGGAGGGGCAGCAGGAGAGGGGGAGAGAGAATCTTAGGCAGGCTCCACACCCAGCATAGAGCCCAACATGGGACTCAATCTCAGGACCTTAAGATCGTGACCTGAACTGAAATCAAGAGTCGGACACTTAATGGACTGAGCCACCTAAGCACCTCTCAGCCTTAATTTTAAACTACTGCCAATATCAACAAATCCTTCTGGCCGGAGCTGACTATTAAATTCAGTATAAGCTATTCTTAGTTTTTCATTCATTCATTTATTCATTCATTCACTGAGACTTATTAAGCACCTACTGTGTACAAAATATCATGCTTGTTGGGTCCGAGGGATGAAGTATGTACAAGGCAACAGGTGGTTTGGAGGCGATGATGAAGGAGCCGACCTCACCGAGGAAGGATCCCTTGAGTGCCAGGCATTGCGGGAAGAGGAAGAGTTTGTTAGGTACAAAAAGCAGGAATGGCATTTTGGGCAGAGGGAGCATGTGCAAATGCAGAGAGCCCTGAAGCAGTGTCCAGTGTAGGCTGTGTTTCCTTCTCCTCCACCCCCACTCCTCCAGTAAAGGAGCCCAGCCGCCCTCATGTGGCCCCTCTTCAGGCCTCCGGCTGTGAGCCTCCACTCCACAGGGTTCCATCCAGCCCCCAGGATGCACTCCTGTTTGATCCCAGCTGCCTCCTCTTGATCTTACCTCCCAGCGCTCGATGCTTGGTCTCATGGATGGCCTCGTTCTCACCCCCTTTGTGGTCCACCAGCTATGGGCGCGTCCTTCCTCCCCTGTCATCTGGACTTCTTCTTGTGGACTCTGACTTCGCTTGCCCCCAGCACTGGGGGCTCAGGCTCCTCTTGAGAACACTCTCTGCCGGCTCACAGGTGTACACATGCACACGTAGAGCCCTACTTTCAAGTGACGGGAGTGCTCTGCCAACGCATTTGGACATATTCATTAGGAAGCAGGAGCCTTTGAGGGAGTGGGTTGAACTGAAGAAAGCCTGTACCACCCCTTTTGCTTCTGATGTCTCAGGCACCTGCTCCAACTGTGCTTAGAAGACAGGGCTCTATGAGGCCGGGACGCTGATACAAAGCAATGCTGTTTCGCAGAGTGAAGTACACGGCCTTGTACAATTCTAAAATCAGGCTGGGAAATAGCCTTCTCATACTGAATATGGAAAATTTCAAGTAATTTTAGAAGAAAATTATTCACGGTTAAATTATTTGAAAAGACCTTTGAGAAGATGAAGGGCTTTCTGGAAGACATCCGTTTTTATCTTCCAGGGCTAAGTGAGCAACATTTCTTACTGCGACCGGAGAACTGTCACACATTCAACATTTCCATGTGTCTCCGTAATTGGGCATGTTTAACATTTTGTATTTTGTCAGCAGGAAGCATAATTACCTACTCTTGGGCTTTTAGGTAGTGAATCGGGGAAATTTTAGCTGGCTTCTGCTGACGCTGAAAGCATGAGAGAGATGTTTTCAGGAAATTATTTCAGAGCAGGGGGGTGGCAAAAGACGATGATCCAAGAGCAAGACTCTGTTCTTGATCCCTCCCAGTTAATGTGTGGAACCAAAGGACATGATCTGACTGTTCTCCCTGCTTCAGCACTTCTCTGCCCTTTGCTCACCACGTTCCTTACAGATCTTTCTCTTGAAATAACTTGTTCTTGCATTCTCTTTTCCTCTTTCTCCTTCCCTCCTAGCGTGTAGTAGGTATGAGGCAAGTTTGAGAGCTGGATGGAGATGCAGAAGTCAGAGATTGGGTAATACAGGGAGATGCCAGAGACCTTTTGTTAATTTTACTGAGAAGGCAGATTCCATAATATTAATATTCTGCTGAGTCAGCCGGTGCCTCAGTCACCCACATCGTGACACCGACTGGTGTTAGCGCTCTGGTTCTGACCTTTGCAAGCCTTGGCGGAAGCCGACGCTTGCCAAAACTTCAGCGACATGAAGAATTGGGAGAAGGAAAGAGTAGAGAAGTCCCTTAGCACTTTGAGACTGTGACCTTTGGAGTCCCACAGGGTGCTGGAGCCAGCGAGAGCTGATTATGTGCCTCTCTTGCCAACCCCTGTCTTCGGTGACATCACACAGGGAACTTGCTGTGGGTCACACCGCAGAAACTGGCAGACCTCATGAGTCAGGGCTTATTTGTTTCAGATGAAGTTGTCCTACTGGCACATCACCAAGAGGCCCCCACCTCTGAGAAAGCCCACAAATACTCAATGTATAGGATGGATAAACCAAGAGGGAGAGAACCCTGAAAAATGTTCCATTTTAAATATTAGAAGGCTCTTTCCCAACCCATTTCTCTAATTGTATCAGACTGTGTACTTAAACCTAGGAAACAGAGAATAGAGAATTTCTAGGAAAATAAGGTTTTGACCTTGTTTAGCTAATGGCAAAGAGCTGAGGAGATGCAAGGGACCTGGGGTGTGTGTGTACGTGTGTGTGCGTGTGTGTGCGCACACACGCACGCGCATTTTCTCCTCTTCTCCCAGTGTACCAAGCTTGAGAGGCTAAATTGGATTAACTGAGACTGTCTCATCTGTTAATTCAAATGTAACAACCAGTGGCACTTCTTTGTTGGTGGAGATAACACCGTGAGCCGTGGACACCCCAGCCTCTGTAAGTACAGCTCTGGTCCCGTGTGGGGCACAGACGCCCACAGAGCTGAGGGCCCCATGCAAAATAGCAAACCTCCCATTCCATTTCATCCTGAATCTGTCCAGCACCATCTCTGTCCTCTCTCCTACCCTACAATTTTGACTTCAGAACCTTCCAGAGCGTCTGGATCCAGCCCGAAGCTTGTCCCGTGCTCCAAAAGTACTAGTTCTCTTTCCCTCTAAATAGAAAGGCTCTTCACTGATAGGTTCTGCTCTCAGCCAGATGTGGCTGTGACTGTGTGATTAAAGTGACTCACAGTAAAATGCCAGAGTGACCCATGCAGAGGGACACCTGCAATTGAGAGAAAACTGGCTATTCTGGGTTCTTCTGAGCTTGCTTGAAAGTTTAATAGATTCATCTGAGCAGGAGCCTGTGCTGCTCCCCCACTCTGTTCCAGACTCCCCTCAGCGGATCTGCCGGGGACTTCAGGGGCCTGGATAAGCCTGGCTTAGTCACTAAGGGACTACCTGCACCTTCAGTGAGGAGAGCCGTGGTTGAGGTCAGAAGTGCTAGCTGGCTGCTGATAATAAAATTCCAAATCCCAAAGCACAAAAAGGGTGTTATTTTTCTGACAATGTGTATAAAAAACCAATAGAAGGCTATAATATTGAGAAGTAGTGGGGAAAAACTGACCTCAGCTTCAGACATCTGAATTTAGTTCTCCATTTGCCACTTATTTAGAATGTGCCTTTGGACCAAGCACTTAGCTGCTAGGAGGCTCAGTCTTCTCATCTGTAAAATGGGATGGGAATTTTTGCCCTGCCTTGTTCATTGCTGTATCCCGAGAACCTAGAACAGGTATCTGCTGCTCAGTCATCACTCAACATGTATTTCCTGATGAGTGAATGGATAAATAGGAGTAGCAGGAGAACTGAAGGCAAGCACTTTGAGAATTATGATACACTATAAAATGGTAGGGGATTTCATGGTAATTTTGTTTTCCTTCCAAATGAGAAAACAAATGAAAGGAAAACAGATTTTTTTTTTTTTACACTGGCTCAGTGCATCAATCATGAGGTTTTGGAAGACAGAAAGGACAAATATGGCAAAGATTCCTCTAGGGGAGCGTGTTTCTTGGCTGTGGCTCCAAGTGTCCCCAAGGCTAACATTCTGCAGACCTCTGAGCCAGACCGTGGAAGCCGTGCTGTGCTTCTTGTCATCAGACATGAGATTTGTCTCAGGGAGAGCTGATGGTTGTGGTGACGTGGTTTCTTTTGTGCTGCTCATGGCTCCCTTTGCTTCATTGTCCCTTCTGAGGCTGGATTGTCCCTTCAGAGTAGCTCAGCCAGCTTTAAACCTCCTCATTGACCAGCTGCTGGGCTGCCTTTTGCTACTGGACGCACTTTCCCTTCTGGTCCTATTAGCTTGTGTTCCTGTCACAGTGCACCATGGAGGGGCTGAGCAACCAGGGCAAATTCCGGGATTGATGGCTTTTCTGAAACCAAGGACAGAGCAGAACCGGCTTTCTGGACCCCCCTCAGCTGTGTCCCACATCAGAGCCATCCCTGGGACACCCTGGGAGAGCTCCAAAGTGTAACAAACTATGCCCTGCCCTGTCCGGGTGGCCTGGGAGGGGTGGTGACTTATGACCCCGGGGACAGTTTCAGCTTTGCGACTGGCTGGACATGTGACCTTGGTCAAGTCCTTTACTTTCTGGGCCGTTAATGAACACAGATTCGATCAAGTGGCATTTGAGAAGCTACCATTTGAGCTTGAAGTGTGGGAAAGTGCCAGAGATATTCCTCACCTATTTGGAAGTTTAGTGTGATTTTCTCTGAGGCTTGGCAAGAAATCAGAAGGTTTGGGGACCACTGAGTTATCCACATTCTGCTTTTTTTGGATACGTAGCCACAAATATTCAAGCCTGAGTTATAATTCCAACATTCTGACTTAAATAAATATTAGTACTATTGCCGTTTGTCATCAGCAGCAGTTTTTATCCAACCTCATCCACGGGGTCACCGTGCCAGAGTGGCCCTGAAATGCATAGTCAAGTCAAGCCTTGCCAGAGGCCAAGCCTGGGGCCAGCCCCATCGCCCAGCGTTAGCCCGTGGAGGTCACAGCTCTGACCCTTTCTGGCCAGCAACCCTGTGGCTGAGCCGATGTGCACTGCACAGGCTTTGGACTGTGTGGCGGGAGCCCAGACCCCGCCTCCCATACAGACGAGACCCTGCCCACCCAGGAGGCTGCAGCTGAACGTCTGTTGGAGGACAGTGTGCTGCACACAGACTTTTCAGGAGCCCTGCTTGCTCTTAGCCCTGAAGGGTGGGGTGCTTGCCTTCTGTGGGTGGGAGGGTCGGATCCATGTACGTTCAAGAGGCTGGAGGAGGTGCCCGTTGGCGGTTTGCCAGCCCTCTGTGCAGGGTAGCCCCGCTGCGTCCTGGGCAGGGTGGGTCCTGGGGCAGCCTTGGCCCAGTGGAAGTAGGCCGGCCCACGTGCCATGTGCTTCCAGGAGAAGGGGCTGAGGATGGGTCTAGTCTACTGTAAATGTTCGCATCCCCTGCAGACAGCAGGGTGCCTGGCACCCATCCCTAATCAGCACCATCCACTCTACCAGCTGGGAGCATGAAGGTCTCACTGCTTTTAATTCTCACATTAACTTAGCTGGAGCCCAGTCTTGCAGAGTGACTTCTGGCTCTTTCTTCCTCTCCTGAGCCTCCTTCCCTTGATAACCTCAGGGAACCAATCTAAGAGGTCAGTTCTCATTACAGATTTTCCCCACTATCCGCAAGTTCATTTTACCCCACTTCACTTTTATGAAAGATGGACATTAGTATGGTAACTGTTTTCACTACACACAAGAAATCCCAAGAGGATTTTTGCTTTTACAAAATGGTAATTGCTTCTTCGCCTTATGTCGTTTTGGCTTACGAGAGCTTTCCGAGGAACGTTCTCCCTTCAGAAATGTTCTGCTTTCGAACAGCTGGAGAAACCTAGCTGGGCTCCTCAGACCTGGTGTGTCAGGAGTCCCCTGGGTACCTTGTTCACATGCAGGTTCTGATTCAGCAGGATGGGGGTGGGGCTGTAGGGGGCTGCTGATGCCTCCCGTCTAAGGACACAATTTGGGTAGCCAAGGTCATTGTTTCCGATTCTTTTCCGATCGTGACACACCTGGAAATGTTTGTGGGGCACACTGGCAAGGCTGCTGTGGCCACCTCAGGCCCAGCCACCTCAGGGCCCAGGGGTCAACGTCCCAGCTCACTGCTCCCCCACCTGAGACGTGGAATGGCTGAGGGGCACCCGTTTTGAGGAGAGAAAAGAACCCAAATCTGATCAGTATGCGTGGGAGTCTGGATGTAGTCTTCTCTGTCTTCTTGTTACTCCAGGTGCTGCCCCATGTGCAGCTACATGCAAGCCGCCCTTGGGGTACAGGAGCACTGCCGTCACTCAGTGCTGTTTTCTTTGGGTGCAGAGAGAGGAGAAGAAGGCTCTCTCCTTATGTCACACTCACATGTGGTCTCCACACTCCCTGTTGGCTTGGGATCCCAGGATGCAGTTTTTTAGAAACGTGGCTCTTTTGGTGTGTGTGTGTGTGTGTGTGTGTGTGTACATGTGCTCAGGTATGCACGATACATGTGTGCACGTGGGTGTGCTCACACACACAGCTGTTTTCCTTAAGGTGCACCATCGTGGCAGAGAGCTGAAGGAATTCTTGCATTAGTCACCTCCTATACCCAGAGCTCCTCTTTGACACAACTGGGCTTCTGTTTCTATGTAGTGTGTCCGGGGACTCTGGGAACCTTTGTGTCATCTGCCAATAGGTAGAACCTTAAAAAAAAAAAAAGATGGGTTTTCAGACCCTTCCTTTCCAGGAGGCCACTTTCAGCAAGCTGTGGTAGAGAAAGGCAGACCTCTCCCAGTGCCGATAGATGGCCCATGGCACCCTTTCCTCTGGACACTATGTGTCTGTTTGCCTTGCTTTACATAACTAAAAGGGGCCTCTCAGATGGTTTTCCCAGAACAAAGCAAGTCTGTTTTGATGTCTCCTTGCTGTTAATAGGAGAATTTGCAGCTGGTAAATGACAGTTTTACTAAAACATTTACTAAAATATGCAGTGGTGTCTCTGTCTTGGCACCCACCCGCCACCCGCCACGAGCTGGCTCAGGCAGTGTTTGTTGAGCGCAGGGATGGTCTGTGTCCTCAAGCCTCACGCTCAGTTTGGCTGAAGCACCTCTCCTTTCTCTCCAGGTCCATATTCAAGCCTTTCATCTTTGTTGATGATGTGAAACTTGTCCCCAAAGCACGGTCTCCTTGTTTTGGGGACAATGACCCTGCCAAAAAGGAGCCTCGGTTCCTAGAGAAGCCAGACCGCCGGCATGAGCTGTACAAGGCCCATGAGTGGGCACGTGCTGTCATCGAAAGTGACCAGGTGAGCCTGGCGCCAAGCCTGTGGAGGGGGGCGTGGTCTGCAAAATGGGAGACAGGGGAGCAGTTATGGAACTCATCACTTTCCTCCTCACCAGCTTGCCTTTCAGAAATCCAGGTACCCAAGGCCCTTCCTAGAAGGCTGCTGTTAATTTTTCCAGCCAGTCTCTTGAATCCAAATAAAACAAAGCTTTTACTTCTGATGTTGTTCCAGAACTCAGTGGGCTTGGGATATCCCTCTTTCATTTACTGTTTACCTAGGAATAACAGAAACATGTGGTTCTAGTAGGGATAACTGCTTTTCTGCTGTCTAAAAATCTTTCTATACTTTTGGGGGTACAGAGTTGTACAAGATGGCAAAACTTTACTTAAAGGTACAGTCATATGTTGTTTAAAAAAAAAGTAACTCTGAAAAACTTCTGGAAATTGATGGTGGTCATGGGTGTTCAACAGTGCGAATGTCCTTATGCCACTGACCTTGTACACTTAAACATGGCTAAAACAGAAAATTGTAAGTTATGTATATTTTACTATAATTTTAAAAAGTTTTAAAAAAAGATTCCCAAATTCCGAGTTTTTAAAAAAAGTTATTCTTCCTTGTGCAGCTTCCCACACCCATCCTGGCCCAAGCTTTGGTAAATGAAGTCACAAGACATCAATTCAAACAAGACACACACTCTGTATTTGCCCACCGCAGCCGTTAGTGACAGATCACGTATAAAACCCAAGCCTCTGTTTTGCTGAAGGGGAGGGGAAGGAACATGGTCGTTAAATGCCCACTGGCCTCCCACGCATGTATTTAACAACTTAGAATAGGTCCAGATTGTCCTGAAGAAAGGGACACCTTGTGGACGAATGGGTGCCTGCATTTGTGTGGACTGGGGGAGCTTATTTTCTCCTTCCTAGCTTGGTGGACTCTGTGAAAAGCATAGAAGGAAGGGCAACATCAACAGTAAATCCAGTGGAATCCAGAAAGAATCTCAGAGAAGGGCAGCCTTGCTACTCCTAGAATTTGCTTTTCCGTGCCACAGAAACAACCATTTGGATGTGTGAAAGTCACGGTGTTTTCACATCTGCCTTCCCTGCGGAACGTGTCCCCGGAAGCATGAGCGCGGCCACCACGCTGCGCTGGGTTTTGCTCAGGGCGGTCCACCTCGCTTCCCGACTGTGCATGTTTTCTAGGTGGAGGACAGCAAGCCCCCAATAAAAATGCCACTTGGTGCATGGTTTTGTGGATGTTTGGCAACTGGAAGGCAGAGGGAAAAAGTGCTGTGTGTTTGAGCTAGTCTGCGCAAAATATCAAAGAGTTGAGACCGATGAGGTTGGGTGGGCTTTGACATTGAGAAATGACCACTGGTTTGTGTCAAAGCCTTGTTAGGAAGTGGTAGATGGGTGGTGACAGCAGCTTCTCCATTCTGGGACAAATTAGGCCCATGAAAGCTTCTCACGGTCATCCGCCGTGAGTGAGTGGAAGAAGAGATCTCCTCACCTCAGAATGAAAGTAAGTTGGGATGTGTGGAACATGTTTGTTCGCTGATCCATTTATTCATTCTACAAACGGCTCTTGGGAATGTCTACTGTGTCCCAGGCAGTGGAGCATAGTGATGAGCTCAGTTCTCACTCCCAGGAGATCGTGGGCTAATGGAGCATGCAGGCAAGTCGACAGACCTAACAAGACAGGAAAAGAACAATCATGGCTGAGTAAAGGCATTGACAGAGAGCCCAGAGGAAAGGTTCAGAGAGGCCTGGAGATGGGTACAAGTTGACCAAGTTCTGAGGAAGAGCAGAGTAGAGTGTCATGGGTTGGAAGAACATAGTTAATTCCGTCTGGCTGAAGGGAAGAGAGACATGGGGGCCATGGCAGGAGGGAGGCAAGTGAGAGCTATGATGTTACAAAAGGCCTTTCCTGAGCGTCTCCTGAGAGTCTGGATTTTGTCCTGAAGGCAGCGAGGAGTTAAGGATGCCAAGCGGGGAAGTATCATAACCACCCTGGCATTCTAGAATGGTCCCTGTAGCAGTTGTGGGGAAACAGATTGAACGGGGTGGGTGGGCCTCTGGGAGGCTTTCTTGTCCACTGTAGTGACCCGCGCTGTTTCTGTCCTTCCTCAGGAGCAAGGTCGCCAACTGAGAAAGACCATGCTGGAACTAGAGAAGCAAGGCCTGGAGGCCATGGAAGAAATCCTGACCGGCTCTGACCCCCTGGACCCCACCGAAGTGGGGGATCTTTTCTATGACTGTGTTGACACGGAGATTAAGTTCTTTAAGTGAAGTAAGCTTTCCCTTTCCCCTTCTTATTTAAATGTTCCCACCTTACTAAATTACCAGCAAAACAAACCACTCTCCTGTGTGAGTAAAATGAGAAAGTTCAGATGTGTTAAAGTCACACTCTTGTGTTCCGCCCTGAAGCTCAGCAGTGACCCCTTCTCCTACCACGTAGCTTCCCTTCTTTTGCAATGTAACGCATCTCCATTTGCCTGTCGTCCGACTGTATGACTGCTTGTGCACTTCCAGCCGCTCTCATTGCCTCTCAGTGACAGTGGACACATTAACCTTCTCATGGAGGACGAGGGTTCATCGGGCCTCGGGAGGGGGCTGCACAGCGCTTAAGTGTGCGGGAAAAGCAAAATCTTTTGAAGTCTTATTCTTCCTTTCAGTACTGGTTTCTTCCAGGTTGACAGAAGGCACAGGGCTCTTCTGTGTGTGCTTGAGGGAGAAGCTTCCAGGCTTCCCGTCACATGAGTGCATGCCTGTCATGCAGAGTGTCCCCACATGTGTCTGCTGAGGGACCAAACCACTGGGGAGGAACAAAGGGAGCCCTTCTGGGGTCCCAGCTCATCCTGATTCCCGGGATCGTACTAGAGTCTACACCATGCTTGTGTGCGGGGCACCCGCAGACAGCCCGTGTGTGCGGGACAGCTAGTTAGTGGAGTCAGGAGTGCCCACGGGAGAGACTCTGAGGCAGCCGCATGGTGGCATACCCCACATCACCACGTGGCTCTCCCTGCCCAGCGGCGTGCCCACCCCTTGGATGTGGCTTTGGGTGCAGTGATTTCGGGCCCGAGGATGACCATCTACTTCAGGATTAATTCAGTGGCCCCATGGCTTAGTTCCACCCCACAAAGCTGTGGATTTCCCCAGCTGGCGAGGGAAAGAAAAGGAGAAACTCTTGACTGTCTAGATTTCAGTTAAAGTAGCTGGAATCTGAGCAGCGACAACATTATCTCTGCAGAGACTTGAATTAAACTGATTTGTTTCCATCGTCGCGTTCACGCAGAGGATTTGACTTACCACCAGAGCATAGAAGAAGAGCGTGTGAGGAGGACCAGATGGGCTCTGCACTGGGAAGACAGAGGGCAAGGAGGTGACAGATGGTTGCAGAAGCATTTCGCCACAGGGTAGCGATCCAACCCCCAGCCTTCCTGCCCAGCTCGCTCTAGCCCACAAAGCCACGTAGGATGCAGCTGGCTCTCTCTGGCCCTTCCCACTAGTCCTTACAGCTGCTCTCGGAAGGTAGCGGAAGTGGGCAAGTGCGGGGTGGGGGGACTTCGCTCTGGCCATTGATACTCTCAAGCGCTGTGAGATGCTTGGGGGGCAGAGATGATGGATAGATGGGGAAGCAGGTGTAGCCACTAGTGGAAGGACAGCAGTTCCTTTACTCCGGCCTCCCCCATGCCAGTGGGGCCCATTCACACTTCGTTACTGGTAGGAATTGGCAAGTGGAAATACTGAGAGTGTTTGTACTCTTCAAAGTGACCTAGGGTTAGTGACTCTGAGCTGACCACGGTGCATGGCAGGCTGTGTGGGCTGGAAGGGACGTGGTCTCACACACAGATGTGGGCACAGAGGGCCACGGGTCTTATCAGAACACATCTTAGGCTACCAACTTCCCTTGAAGAGTGTGGGTGTCAGAGCACCACGAGCTTTTGGTCCAGCAGTTGTGTGAATTCTGGTTGTAAAATCGTAAACAATGAGTGGTAGGAGGTGGGGAGGATGTTTGGGCTGAGAGAGTTAACACAGCCGTTCATGGTGGCTTGTGGTAGCTGAATCTCATCCAGGGCTTTCCCTGTCGATGAATGCAGGGTCTCCTCTTAGAGGGAGCGGCCACCCTCAGTGCATCTGTTTACGGATGCTAAGGCAGGGGAGGGTGAGGCTTGGCGGGGGAGGAAGGGTGACAGGTACCTTGCCTCTCTTAAGTCCCCCTGCTTAGTGGCTATTTAAGAAAAGCCACCGTAAAATTTCACCACATGGTTTCACCTCCAGCTGTTATAGAAACACTTTATCAGATCAGAGATACCCACCGTGATTCAGGGTTTTACCAAAAGAAGTCTAGTGAGACTGCATTACACAGAGGCCTGCTTCCCTTATTATGGGCTTTGCAAAGGTCATGGATAACCCATCCAGCCTATGCCTAGCCGCTGTGAAGTGGGAAATACAATGGCTACTTCTGTTAGGGGACATTTGGCCAGCATCTCAAAGAAGGGCCAACCCAAAATGAGAATTGTCTTAGCTAACACTGTATGTCACAATTGTGATGCTCCTGTCTTACCACCAGGGGGCGTGGCAGCCCACCATGGCACAGCCTGGCAGAAGTTAAATGGGGCTGGGATGCTTCCCTCTGGCACTGAGGGGACCTGTGTACAGTCAAACCCCCAGTAATAGCAGTGGACGAATCTTTGTGCCTGGGGGGTTGTGGGGAAAGACAAGAAGAGAGTTAGGAGTCTACTGATGCGCCTGGACTCACTTTTTGTGACTTTTACCTACTTAGGTTAACTGCTTAAAATATGTTGTTGAATTTTGGGCGGGCTGTTGGTGAGATGTTTCTTTTTAAATGCTCCTAACAGACTCTGCTTTTGAAAAATGCTTATCACTACGTGGATGATTTCTTGACCAGGGATTGCTTTTCTAAAGGCAGTGTGGGGAAATGAATATTCAAGATGAACTATGAAAGAAATGTTTAAAGGTCAGTGTGTAAATAGCTTCCTGAAATACCATGTGTGTATCCATTAAGACTTGGCTGGGGGAGCTGTGCATGCTTTGTGCAGAAAGAGGACATGGCCACGATGGAATTTTTCCCCTATTCCCATGCCCCATAACCAAACATAAGCTATTTCGTCTTGTCTAGTAGATGGGATTTACCATAGATGAAGACACCCCTTATCCCCTTGAGGGGAAAGAGGCTACAGTAAAAGTAAATTAGCAAAGCAGAATAGTACTCTTAATTCTTGGGAGGCTGGTTTGGAATTCCAGGTAGAATAAGGATGTACTTGAAATTACAGTGATTCCTTAGTGCCCAGTAACATAAGACACAGTGTTACCATTAAGAAGAGTCTTTCTTACAAGTTAACAGAGCAGGTATATGCATATTAGATATTAGCAGTGAAGTTCCTTCACTATTGGGTGAATCATTAGGTAAAAAAAATAATTGCCAACCAGGCAAACCACTTTGCTCCCTAACTTACATCATCCCGCATTGGTACAGGTGTTACCACCCTGGCTGGCCCAGCAGGGAAACCAGGTGGGACCAATGTGCCTGCTAGGAAACCATGAACTGCATTCTCAGCTAAAGAACAGTCAGGTCATTTGTAAGGGAGGTCTTCGGCTGAGCTCTCAGCCTTAGGAAGGAAGCACATGGAAGAAGGAGGGTGGGGAGACTCCCCCCCCCCAGATGACTATTCTTGTATGGAGGGGGAGGAGTGGTGGGTCACATGCACGTGCTATCCCAGCACCACCCTGTGCATCCCCGTGGCTGTGACATTTCATCCTGCACAGTCCCAAGTCCCAGCTCTCCTCCTATGGCTTGTGTCAAGTGTGCTTTATCAGACTGACTTCAAACATTCCGAAATGTCACATGCAGATTTCTCATGGGAATGAATATGTACATGTTTGCAATCATGTTGTGAGAAGTTAAATGTGTGAGCTGGAAAATGCTATTGGCAGGGAATAATAAAAAAAGAAAAATCTTTGTGTTTCCTGCAGTGGGAACTGACCATGTAGTCTTAACAGCCTTTTGTACAAACACCTATGAACCAGATAACTTCCCTATCCAGTGCTTGCCCTTGGAATTGTCTCTGAATACATCAAGCATACAATAAAAAAAAAAAACAAAAAAACACTCAAATGAATATCCTTGTGTTTCATGAATAAATGTGATAAATGTGGACATCAGTCACAAAATAGAAAATGTACAAAGGGGAATATATTTTTCTGACTGGCATCTTCAGAAAACCCAATCAGCTCAGCGTTTCCAACATGGTGTACCATTCTGTGGATAAGTCACTCTTAAAAATAAATACCAAAGCACACTGAGAGACCACTTCACACCCATCGGGATGGTTACTATCAAAAAAGCAGAAAATAACCAGTGTCGGCGAGGCTGTGGAGACACTGGAGCCTTTGTACTGTGTTGGTGGGAGTGGAAAATGGCGCAGCTGATATGGAAAACAGTATGGCCGTGCCTCACAACAGTTGAAAAGATAGAATTAGCATATAAGCCAGAAATTCTGCTTCTGAGTAGATGCCCAAAAGAACTGAAAGGCCTCAGAGATGTTTGTACACCCCTGTTCATATCAACATTATTCTCAATAGCCAAAAGGTGGAAGCAACCCAAGTGTCCACTGATGTTATTCTGAGGGAAATAAGCCAGGATCCAGAAGGCAAATATTGTCTGATCCCACTTACATGAGGTCCCAAGAGTAGTTAAGCTCATAGAACCCCGGAAAGTGGAATGGTGGTTGCCAGGGGCTGGGAGAATGGGGAATGAGGAGTTGTTGTCAAGGCGGTAGAGTGTTTCAGTTTTGCAAGCTGATAAAAGAATTCTGGAGCTTGGCTGCACAATCATGTGAAGGTACGTAACAACACTGAACATGGTCATGATGGTGGATTTATGTCAAGCATCTTATACCACAAACAGAAACCACACTAGAAACAGAAGTCCCGATTGTCAGAACATCAGTGCCATCTATGCCAAGCATCTTTATGTGAAAGCCATGGCACTGCCACTAACTAACTTCACTGAAGAGAAAGCGTAGCTGTTCCCACTCCCATGACCTAGAAATGCCACACTGCTTCCATGATTCGGTCTCCATGGTGACAGGCAAAAGGCAACTGACTATCTTGTTCATGAAGATAGGACTTTGTCCTTGGTACAAGTGACTCATGTCAAGGTCAGAGAAGACAACCGCCCCATTTACATGACCAGGAACGGCTAGCTCTTTAAACCTTATTTCCAACTCTTTTTTCAGAAACATAACATTCTCCCACAAAGCTCCACAGTGACCACATGTTCGTTTGCTAGGGCTGCTGTCATCAAATACCACAGAGTGCTTGGCTCAAACCCCAGGAATGGATCGTCTCACAGTTCTGGAGGCGAGAAGTCCAAAAACAAGGTGTCCGCGATGTTGGGTCCCTCTGAGGGCTGTGGGGGAGAATCTGTCTTCATCTTCACATAATGTCACTGTGTCTGTCCAAATCTCCCTTCTTACAAGGACACCAGGCCAACTGTATTAGGGCCCACCCCACTGCATATGGCCTCCCCTTAACCAATTACATCTTCAACAACTTTATTCCCAAAGAAAGTTACACTCTGAGATGTGGGTTTAGGACTTCCACATACGAGTTTTTGGAAGACATAATCCAACCTGTAACAGAGCAGCTTTGCGAAGGATGTGCAAATCCCTGGGGCCTGGTGTGAGAATTTGGAACTCACTCCTGCAAGTCATAGGTACAGCCCTGCTCACGGAGCTGCTTCCCTCACCCTTGTAGCTGCCACCTCTGCCCCACGTCACTCCATCAGCAGTTCCTAAAAGTATGGTTCCTTCACCTCCGTAGTCCATGGCTTTGACCTTCATTACCCCCTTCATGGATTATCTTGGGCCACTGCTTTTCTTTTCCACTCAGAATGGCCCTTTTGGTAGGGAAAGAGCTTCTCTCTACCTCTGCTAATAAAAGCGGCAGATAAAACTGGTCAGGTCCTTCACTCATTAGGAGGCAGCGTGTGGCAGCGAACTTTGAAATGAGTTTCTAGATGAGACTTATATCTGGAACGTCTATGAATTTTAATTACTGTTTTCTCTTTGCTGTCCAGCAGCAGAGCCAGTGGGGGGTGCTCTGAGCCGCTCTGTAACAGTTGAAGTGGAATGCCAGGGTACAGCCTGGTGAGCTGTCTGGGACTCAGCTGAAATGAGCAAACTTGTACCCTAGAGTGCGGGGTGCGCTCATCCCTGCATCTGTTGGGACCCAAGAGTGAAGGGCTTCTTTAGGTCTTATGTTACTGCATCTTGACCACTACATGCTTAGATCCATATTTGTGTCCCTGTTTTACACATGAGGAAACTGAGGCACACACTGGTTATGTAGTTTACATCCCCAAACTTGTAAGAGGCCAAATAGATCTGTTTGACTCTAAGCCAGCTTACCTAGCAGGTGAACGTCATCTCCCCTGCACCACGTACCAAAGAGGCCACCTGAAAATACTAGAATGGAGATTGAGGATACTGCCTCATACAGATGTTTTGAGGGGTTTGCTAAGTTGGGGCAGGTGCTCAGTGCACTTTAGATCAAAAGCTGTTCCATTTTAACACAAATTAGAGGCATTCTATAAGCAATACTCTGCCCGTTTTCTATGAATAAAACAATATAGTGTTACCTATTTTTTTTTAAGAAAATGCATTTCAGACATATTTTCCCTTGGATTTCCCTCAATACCCATCAGTTCAGTTTAGCTACAAAAACTAGGAATATATTATTATTATTTTTAAAGATTTATTTATTTGAGGGAGTAAGAGAGCAGGAGCAGGGAGAGGAGAGGGAGAAGGTGAAGCAGACTCCCCACTGAGCAGAGAGCCCGATGTGGGGCTTGATCCCAGGACCCTGGGATCATGACCTGAGTGGAAGGCAGATGCTTAACCATCTGAGCCACTCAGGGGCCCCAAAACTTGGAAAACATTATACAGGTTAGTTAGAAATGTCAGCTCAGAAAAGAAAGGCCTCATTTCAAACACAGTGTGTCACAGCCGGCATTGGGTTCTGTGTGAGTACCCTTCATGTCCCATCCTTTTTTTTTTTTTTTTTTTTTTAAGATTTTATTTTATTTGACAGAGAGAGTGGGAAGGGCAGAGGGAAAAGCAGACTCCCTGCTGAGCAGGGAGACTGATGTGGGGCTCCATCCCAGGACCCTGGGATCATGACCCGAGCCGAAAGCAGATGCTTAACCGAGTCACCCAGGGGCCCCCGTGTCCCATCCTTCTTAGAAGCCCTTCTAACCCTGAAAAATGGTTGGCTTAGGTCAGTACTCGTGACCCTCGATGGGTTTTAGCAAGGACATGGCAGAAGCATTTCCACTTATTAAAGTTTATTAGATACAAAGAAAGGAGTCTGCAGAGGGCACATCAATAAATATAAAATACATATGAAACATGGGGGAGCCACAGACGACGGGGTCAGTGAGAACACTGGAGTGTGGCAAGAGCTCTGGAACTTGTTGGCTCTGCGTGAGTTTATGGTCAAGGGGCTTGAGGTCTGTCCTGCCAGCAGCAGGCACTGCACGCACTGAATTCAGTGACAGGTCTCGAGGAGAGATGGGAGGCCAGATTCCTGAGATTTCTCCCTAAAGCTGCAATTTCTGGTTTCTGCCCCTCCCTTCCCTCTGTCCTTGATAGGTTTTGTTTTTAACTTCTATCCCAGGGGTGTGGAACGTGAATGCATAAACATCTCATGGGGCAGCCAGTCTCCTCGGAAGGTGGACTTGCCTTTGTCTTGGGCCTTCTTCATCATGATAATTAAAACCCTTGTAATTATTTTCCTACAGCTGGGAGGGAGATGGAGCGGATCCCGTTATAATAAAGAAATCCCGACCTTTTGGAAACCTTCCAGAACCAATAAAACCAATCAGCTGTGCCCAGAGCTGCTGACCTGCAAAAGCTTCTTTTCCAATTGAGTTAGCAGTGACAATTTGGCATGACTGATTCCCCAGAGAAGGGCACTTGACCTTGCTCAGATGCTCCTCTCTGGAATGAGAAAGCACAACAATGAAGGATGCCATCTTAGTCTTTAGACAACAGTTAAGTGTATGCAGTCACATTTGCCCAAACCCTGCTAAACGGCTACCTGTTCTGGATGGCTTGGTCTGGGCACGGTGTCCTTCAGGTCTGAGCACATGAGTGGGTTGTTCCAAAGGACACTTGTTTTTCCACTGCTCTTTCCGCACCCGCCCCCCCTTTTCCTTTAATCTCCACCTATTTTGAGCACAGACCTGGGGTCAGTCTGTTTCCTTCTATTTTCTCTCCTTCCCCTCTTACAGCTTCCCCTCCAAGGACAGGGAGCATCTGGGGTCAGGTGCAAGCAAACACACACTTCCATTTCCTTGCCAGCTCCAGAAAAAGGGTGTGAGAACAGCAGCCAGAGCCCTTCCCGACCAGTTCCATATTCAGGGGTGGCCGGCCTTGGGCACTTCTCCCCGACAGAGAAGTGCGCCCCCCACAGGGCAGGGGGAGCTCTCAGACCCATCAGGCCCTCTTTAGTTCGGAAGGGAGCTGCGTTTGCCTAGTGGGGGCTGCCAGGCTTCCTATGCACAGGAGTGAGGCACCAGGTCAGTGAGGCAGATACTTGGCCAAGAGGCTTTTGTCTACACTTCCTCATGTCCTAGTTTCCATGAAAATCCCATTCTTGGGGAGAAAAAAATAAACAACCATCTCTGAGATAGAATATGTAATTGACTATAATAATGAGTTACATAGGTTTCTAACTTGCAGAAAAAAAAAAAACCCTAAATCTCATGAATCTCGCCTTACCCTGGAAGCCAGGAAGGAGTTGGGAACTTAGGCGGGACATGAGGAAAGCCAGGGGCACGTGGGCACCGGGGGCACTGTAAACAGGAAGGGCGTTGGCTACTTGTAGGAGCTTTCTGTTACAAAAGGGCACTGTGCTTGGCATCGGAGGGGCCAAGCCCACTCTTGCCTTTCTTTTGGGTCATATTTACATGAGGCAGAAAAAAAAATCCCTGTACTGCAAAACGGAAGCGAGACATGGCATCTCGTTCACCGGAGGCTGTGTGGCCTTATCTGGGTGGGGGGACACACTGCTCTCTCTGAGCTGCAACGTTTATAAGGCATTACTGGGTTTGATTTTGCAGTGTGTGTGTGAGGAGAATATAGAATTAGGCCGATAAGAAGCCGCTGTGGGGACTATGACTTTGGGACTACTTGCAAACGAGGGAATCTTCTAAAAATGGTTCAGAATCTAGGAAGGGCCAGGCCAAACACATCATTTACAGTCACGGAATGGACACCATGGGGCGGGGACAGGGCGCTATCGGTATGATGGATGAATGCCAAGATGCATCCTTGGAAAATTGAGAAACATAATATGGGTGTGTTTTTTTTAATTATGCAAATAAGAGCTGTCATACTGATTTAAAGCCTGTGCAAACCACGTATTTACAATAAATAAATGCTCCACTCAGAGCTTGCATGTTAAATGAATTGCAACTTAAGTATGGCGAGGCCAGACACGTTCTCCAGGGAAGCCCATCTGGCGATGTGGACCCCCAGGCGGCTCACGGGACATTGGCTTCCTCTGTCTTCTCACCGGAGTGTCTTTAGTGATAACTGTGGAAAGACAGGAACATTATGAGGGGGATCTGGAAGACTCCACACACACACACACACACACACACACACACACACACACACACACACACACACACACACACACACCCCTGGGGCTGGGCACCACAGCCTTCCTGCATTCATACGAGGCTGCCAGGGTTTGAGGGTCCCGTCAGATGCAAGGAGCTGATTTTGACCCAGGGGTTTGTGGGTGGGAAAGGGATAAAATGGGACAAAGAGTTGATGGCGTCTCAAGACGTACCGCCATCTTGGAAACAGATATAAGACCAAACACCAGCATGTGACAGAAACTCAAGAAAAACTAAGAACTTGCTGGAGATCCCAAGACAAGGCAAAGGTAAAGACAAAGGGCCCCAGGCCTTCAGATTTCCAGCCCAGGACTCCCACCCATGCACAGATCACTTGGGTCTCTCCACCATAAAAGAAGAGTGCCCCCTGGGGGGCAGTTTACGATGTCTAGAACCCTGTGAGCTCTCTGGGTGACTGCTTTTTGTCTCGCTGACGTGACTACTATCTCCCCGAGCGGATGCCTGTTAATTCTGTGTATAGTCTCCCTGTTTTCTTTTGCCCTGTGCTTATCTATTTCTCCCTTAACTGCAATCAGACAGCCATTTTGAGCCTTTGATTGTCTGAGTGATTATCACAATTCTTAGCTCAGCTGTGGTTAGAAAAGGTGGTGCTTGTCCTCCCGCAAGGAACTCATCCCCATGTCCAGGGCCTTGTCCCCTTCTCACATCCCTTGCTGTGCTGTTCCAGGGGGCTGCAGGAGGACCCAGCTGAATGGCAGGCCACCCCCCTTGCTACACAGAACTCTGAAACAGGAGGAGGCCAGGGTACAACTAAGGGCCTTTATTTATTTTTTTAAAAGATTTTATTTATTTATTTGACAGAGATCACAAGTAGGCAGAGAGGCAGGCAGAGAGAGGAGGAAGCAGGCTCCCTGCCGAGCGGAGAGCCAGATACGGGGCTAGATCCCAGGACCCCGGGATCATGACCTGAGTGGAAGGCAGAGGCTTTAACCCACTAAGCCACCCAGGTGCCCCAACTAAGGGCCTTTAAAGATGAGATCCTGTCGTGACCAGATGTCATCTCGGCCCGGGGTTAGGAGACAGTCTGTCCAAGCTGCTTTGTGTGAGAAGGAGGACATTTTTTCACAGACTGTCTTATCCCACAAGAACCCGTCTGGTTCCCCTCCCAGCTTCCTCTAGCCACCAGGACTTGAATTGTGACTACATTTGGCCAAAGGAAATGATCACGTCGATGGGAGAAAAACCCCCCACAGGGGCCGTGAGATACCCTGTACTCCACAGACAGAACCCTGAATCACGCTTGGTGCGCATCGCAGAGTAGTATCTGATCCGGCCTCCCCAGCCATGGAAGAGGGAGCGGGGAGGGAGTGGGGTGACCGCTAAGGAAGGGCTCCAAAGGGCTTCTGGGTGGCCAGCCTTGGTTCTGGAGGTGGGGGGATTCTGGGGAAACCCCCCTTTCCCTCTTCAGAGTTTGAAACTGTATGCATTTCATTCTAGCTGGAAACAAAGGTACACCAAACGGCTTTCCCCGAGGACAAAAGAATCTGTGCAAAGCATGTTAAGCTTTAGGGACAAAGCACACTCTCGGCATTTCTGGGCTCCCTGAGGAGAACTCCTGCTTTTACGTTCAGAGACCCAAGGAGGTGTTACCTGAGAATTTCTGCCTTTGATGTCATCCGAGCTCTGCCCTGTGGCCTCCGTGTGCAGCCAGGGACCAGGCGTGTGGCCTGAAAGAAACAGGAAAGATCTTCGCTGAGAAATTCAGACTCTGCTGGCGCTCAGAGCAACAGCAGAGGGACCAAGGGTACCAGGAGCCGGTCAGCCTGAAACCTCCAGGCTCCTCCCCGCCCTAGGCTGAGTGTTTCCACCCACTGCTTCCATGGCCCAGCCTGGATGCAAAAGCATCTCGTCCAGCCTGCTGGAAGGGGAACAGGTTGTTATAAAGGCCTGTCGCCTACATGCACGTGACAGCTTCTTAGCTCAGAACAAGCCACCATCTCCAGAATCGCTCATTTGTCCAGTACACACTGTGTGCCAAGCGCCGTGCTAGGGTTGGCTAAAGAAGGGAATAAAAGGTAATTGTATGCTGAATAAATCATGCTTTCTTCCAGGAGCTTGGATTCTTTCTTGAGCTCATTCTCTAAAATGTATTTTGCTTAAATATCACACAAGTTTCATATAAATATATTCTCATAATGAAGGGGTCAAAGAATATAGAGGAAGACAATAGGGAATAAAACACCTGAGCAACCTCAAATGCCTCTTCTTTGCCTAATCCCTGTTTCTATCCCAGAGTCCCCACTACTCAAAGAAGCTTGCTGTTTATCCCTCCAGATTTTTTTTTTTTCTTTTTGGTATTTACTTATATGTGTGTATATGCGTCTGTGTGGTTTGGTTGGTCTAGCCCAGGTTTAACTCCACATTCCCAGCCATTCCAGAACGTTCCCTGTGAGTTCCATGCTCCAAATGGCATCCCTTGTGGCTCTTTCTCTGCGGCACACAGTACAAGGCTTTTCCGTTCTGCCTCTGTCCCGGACGGGGAATTAAATAACCACATCCCAAAGCCCTCCAGACACTCCAGGTTGCTGTGTTCCTTACAGAGCACTGTGAAAAGCAGAACTATTCATCTCAGATCATTTACAATGGTGAAAAGGTGATGATGCCCCACGTTCCACAAATCTATTTAGGAACTCCAGGGTTCACTAACTGTATGATGGCGTATGAAGTGGCCGTTTGAATGTTTACGAAATAAAATAATTTAGGGTGATGTCTGAAATCGAGGAGAAAGAAAGCAGACTAGAAATTGTATAAGCAGGATGACCTCAAATACTTAAAAAGATGGAAATAGTATATTGAATGGATTCCTCCTGGATTTACTGTTGTTGTTGCTTTTTAAAAATCTCTTAAACATATTTTGTACAGTGAACATGTAAGTCATCTTAGGAATCTGTTAAGGTAAGATCTAGTTTTTAAAGTGAGCTAGCACATAGAAGGGTCTCTGCAACTTACAAAACATTAATCCAATGGACACTGAAATTTTCATGAAAATACTTTTTAAATCAATAAGTGCATTTGTTCTAGGATAAAGATATTTTTGGGCAAAGGACATAAGGAGTAGATTTTTTAGTCAGTTTATTAACTACGGTAAAAGTAAGACACTGGGGAGCCTGGGTGGCTCAAGTGGTTAACCGTCTGCCTTCAGCTCAGGTCATGATCCTGGGGGCCTGGGATCGAGTCCCTGCTCAGTGGGGAGCCTGCTTCTCCATCCATCCCTCACCCCACTTGTGCTCTCTCTCTCTGCCAAATTAATAAATAAAATCTTAAAAAAAAAAAAAAGTAAAAAGACACTGATATATAGCCCTTGATTTAATTCCATGTGGCAGTATGGCCTTGAAATTACTTCTTCGATGTAAGAAACTTCAGCCTACTACAGAAAAGCCTTCCTCTAGGCCAGGGTTTCTTAACTTGGCTCTCCTGACCTTGTGGGCTGGATAACTCTTGGTTAGGGGGCTGGCTGTGTGCTACAGCCTGTGGGACAGCATCCCTGGATGCCAGGAGGACCTTCCCCAGCCCCCAGAGCATTTGTAACAACAAAAAATGTCTCCAGCCAGTGCCACGTGTCCCGCAGGGGGGCAAAATCCTCCCTTTGGAGAACCACTGGGCAATAAGACAGGTTTCTCTGTAGGAAACTGGTGCCTGCTAGTTTTCATAAATACGACTGGAAACAATAGCACAGCTAAAGGAGAACCAATTTCTTCGTAAAACAGGAAGGAAAATTTTGCATCTTGCTAGAAAAGAAACTTTACTGCTGCTAGAAGTGTGTGGCCAGGGGTTAGGGTTACTCGGGGTGCTTTTTTAAAAATATATTTTTTAAAAGATTTTATTTATTTATTTGACAGACAGAGATCACAAGTAGGCAAAGAGGCAGGCAGAGAGAGAGGAAGGGAAGCAGACTCCCTGCTGAGCAGGAAGCCGAATGTGGGGCTCGACCCCAGGACCTTGGGATCATGACCTGAGCTGAAGGCAGAGGCTTTAACCCACTGAGCTACCCAGGCGCCCCAAGATTTTATTTATTTATTTGAGAGAGAGGGAACACAAGCAGAGGCAGTGGGAGAGGGAGAGGGAGAAGCAGACTCCCCCACTGAGTAGGGAGCCTGACGTGGGACTTGATCCCAGGACCCTGAGATCATGACCTGAGCCGAACGAAGGCAGACACTTAACTGACTGAGCCACCCAAGTGTCCCATTTTAATGTAAATACTGCCTTAGGGTATTTTTTTCCGCTCTGAGATGGCTCTGAGATGACACAGGATTGCTAGGATTCAAAAAGGAGAGCTCTTCTGCTAAAAAGTCCTTTATAAGGGCTGTGTTTTCACAGACGAGTGTTTCAAGTTCACTAAAACACACGCTTTCAAAATTTGGGAACACCAACTTCTACTACAAAATACCATTTACGTCCCCACCGGACCCCACGTGCCAGGGCCCTCAGAGCAGCCCGAGTGACCCCAGCTGCGGCCTCCCGGCACACGGATGCCCCTCTGCCCCGGTGCTGAGCACAGCAGCCGGATACGAAAGCCTTCTCTGAACTGCAAGGCTTAGAGCAGAAAGTCTGTTCCAGGACTGAAGGCACAGAGGCCTGAGGGCCAAGCTGGCTTCCAGGTTTATTTTTTCTCATTTGTCAACCAAGCCAGTCTGTGCCTTTATCCAGGCACAGAGATACTCCATATCAGAGAAAAAGAAATCCATTCTGCAGCCGACCAACAGGAGGACAGACACTGCAGGACCTGGAGAAGGGCCGGAGAGGATTCCCAGATGTGGGTAGCCGCTCAAGCTGGGTCTGAGAGCCAGCCTTGCAGCGTGACCCCTGTGGCCTAGGGAGTTGGGTTAGAACAGACTGGACTCCTAGGAGAAGCAGATCTGACCGGCAGCTCTGGGCCAGCATGGTCTTTCCAAGCTAAGGGCTACGTGGCACGGGGTGGAGAGGTAGCAAGGTGGGGTGCACAGAGCACTGGACATGGAGCAGAGAACCTTAGCCCAGAGCCCCAGCTTTTTTTGAATCTAAATTGAATCTAAATTCAATTAACCAATATATAGTACATCATTAGCATCCGACGTAGTGTTCAATAATTCATCAGTTTCATGTAACTGCGAGTGCCCAGTGCTCATGACATCCCATGCCCTCCTTAATGCCCATCACCCTGTTACCCCACCACCCTCCAACGTCCCCTTCTGCAGCCCTTGGTTTGTTTCCCAGAGTCCAGAGTCTCTCATGGTTTGTCTCCCTCTCTGATTTCTTCCCATACAGTTTTCCCTCCCTTCCCTTATGATCTACACTATTCCTTGTATTTCACATATCAGGGAAACCATATGATAATTGTCTTTCTCTGACTGACTTATTTCCCTTAGTATAATACCATCTCGAGCTCCATCTTTGCCACTGGCTGTGACCAGGAGCGGCTATCCTATTTCTGCCCTCGTTGCTTCAGCTGTATATGAAAGAAATGGGCTGGACGACCTCAAAGAGCCCTTCCGTTTTAACCCTGGGGGCCTCTCACAGTCTCTAACCAAAGGAAATGACAGGTTTCACTGCAAATGATAATTCTAGCATCTGTCAGACCTAGATGTTAGAAGGTGCATATCTGGCCTTTCCTCTCCTCCCCGACTGTCATGTCTCAGTTGAGGCTGGTATGAGCCTTGCTCACCACTCCTTCCAGACCACATCCCGCTTGTACAGAACTCAGCAGGGTCACCCCGTGTACCCCGGGGCCACGTTTCTCCTCCACAAGTACTCAGACCAGGCGCTGGCCAGAGTCTCCCTCCCAGTAATTTGGAAATTTTAGAATTTTAAAATTAGCTTTAATGATTATTAAAAGTAATATGCATTTGTTACAGAAAACTTGGACAAAATCGTGAAGCCTAAGGAAAATTAAAATCACCCAGCCTTCTACCATTGAGCTCACTTCAATGGATGTGCTTCTAGCCTCTTTTCTATTTGGTCAACACCTTTCCCTTTCCCTCTCCATATAGATTTGCAAAGTCATTTCCTTGTTTAAATTAAATTTCAGTTCTATTTTATGTACTTTTAGTGTGCTGGGTGTTTTGCTTTTACTTCTCAAAGTTGTGTTTGCATTTTCTCATGTCACTGAATATTCAACAACACTCCTTGGAAAGCATGGGATTCTATCCTGTGGCTCTCCTTAATGTATTTAACCCCATTGTTGGAGATCTGTGCTGTTTTCCAGTTTTTTATTCTGTAAATGGTTTTGCAATGTATATATGTATGGACAGTCTCATCAATTTTCTTTTTAGAGAGAGAGCACATGCGTGTGCATGAGCTGGGGGGGTGGGCAGAGGAAGACAGAGAGAAGCAATTCCAAGCAGGCCTAGTGCAAATCTCAGATCAAAGATCCTGACTTGAACCAAAATCAAGAGCCAGACGTTCAACCGATTGAGCCACCCAGGCACCCCGACTTTCTTGTCTATTAATTCAACAAGTATTTATCAAGTGTCTGTGTGCCTGGCCCCATTCTGGGAGCTGGCGTTAGACCCCAGTGCGTAAAAATTGATGTCATCCCTTCCCTTCTGGGTCTTATACTGTACTGGGGGAAACAGACAGGACACAGGTGAATATATAATATGTCAGGAAGTGATAAATGCTTCAAAGGAAGTGAGAAAGCAGAGTGTAGAGAACAGAAGTGATGCGGCAGGAAGGGCTGCTACTCAATAAA